CCTATATACCTACTCAACGGTCTCATATTACAAACTTAATGAACCCAAATCTTTCATACTTAACCTTCACATCTCAACCCAACTCCAAACCAAACTAGCCAAACAATTCCCCTTTTTATGGGAAACAAACAACATTCCTTACTTAGGAATCAATCTCACACCAACGACAGACCAACTATACACAGCAAATCACAAAAATATTGCTTGAAACTATCCCCCGAGAACTAAACACTTTACGCACTTCAGAACTCTCCAAACTAGGCCGAGTGGCGACTCTAAAAATGTATATTTTACCCAAAATCTTGTACATATTCCGCACACTACCCATACCAATCCCTAACTCATTCTTCTCTAACCATCAAACAATCCTCACAAAGTTCAAATGGAACTCGAAAAAACCAAGATGTACCACCAATCTCTAATACGACCTACAACTAAAGGAGGAGCAGGACTCCCACACCAAGTCTTATTACACAGCTACTCTTTTAGACCAACTATATTTCTGGTGGAACCCATCGAAGGAAAAAATTTGGCCCATAATGGAAACCCTCCCTTTTCAACCACTTAAGCCCCAAAATATACTCTTGACCCCACCGACCGACCGAATGGAACCCCAACTAAAACATCCCTGCATTCAAGCCTCCCTACAAGCTTGGCAGGACCTCCTATCCACTAAATTTAAAGACGTCAAAATATACCTACTCCAACCAATATACTACACCTTCTCATTCCCTCGCTAGACTTATCGCAATGGACAAAACAAGGGATAACCAATATAACAGACCTCTATATCAATCAATCAGTATATGCCCCTTCCAAATTCTCCAAACAAAGTATAATCTCCCTACTACTGAAAACTTTACATACCTAAGAATTGCTCATTGTCTACAAACAGCTAGCTTACCCCACACCACTATGATACCAATTACAGCCTACACCTTCTTCACCAAACCTCAATACCCAGGTAAAGGTAAATCCACCTTCTATACATACCTCATAAACTTACAATTTACTCTACAAACAACCTTCCTAACCAATTGGGAAAAAATCCTATCAGATCAAATAACTTTAAAATGCTGGGAAAATACCTTCAACATCACCTATAAAGCTACCCGATGCAGCTCCCATTGGGAGTCATATCTAAAAAATACTTCACCAATGGTACCTGACCGCGGTCAAACTCTCCTCTACACCCGAAACAGTCTCCTACATGCTGGAGACAATGTGGTGAGCCAGGCTCAACACTACATATTCTGTGGTCATGCAAGTCACTTCGATCCTTCTGGAATACTACTTTTCAATTAATCTCCGAAACAAACAAAATTTTTAATAGTCCCGAACCCCTCATTAGCACTCCTACACATCGGAATCGAGAAATTCCCTCCTCATTCCCGAACAATTATTACCCACATACTCTTTGCCGCCAAAATTAATATTACCAGATTATGGAACACAAACAATATCCTGTCAATCACTTCATTAATTACAGACCTTAACACCCAATGTGAAATGGAAAACTTATCCGCAATTAACACTTCCTCCTACTACAAATTTAATAACCAATGGACCCGATGGCTAAATCACCCAAAATGTTCTGTACAACCCTGATGACATATTATGAGCTAAAGTTACCTCCCACAACAAGACTGGTATTTCCTCAATTACCCAGTTATATCCCTCCTCCCCCATCCTATCCTCCCCCCTCCCCCTCCACCAAAACCCCCCTAACACCCCAAAAACCCCAAAATCCTCACCAAGGTTCATCATATGCACACAAATACCTCTGATGATATTGCTAAACAAGATCACCGTCAATACAATGGGTGGAACCACAACAAAAATGCTCAACTATATATCGTCTATTGCAATATTGTATGAATGAACCGTATCTCATTTCCCTGTTTTTTCCTGTTTATCTCTGAAAAATTTTATAAAAATATTGAAACATAAAAAACAAGTTGATTCAATTTGGCTTATGCACAAATCTCAATATTTCGTCTTTAATTATCATCATGATGCAGGATTACTTGGTGTTTTTATATTTCTCATAAATTGTCATTTCACGTTATTGCCATTCTGACTAGTTCTCCGTAGCTCATGCATGACCAAAATGTAACATTCTTTTAGGTTGTATACATAATACATGTTGCCACATTTGTTTTTTCCCACTGAAACCCCAATATCCTCATTAGGGAGGAGCTCCTGGTTCCGTCTGAACACGAGTTCAGACCAAACTTTGATTGTTCAGGCATTTGTATACAGTAGTAGCAGATTTTTCTCTCGCTACTACTGTGACACCATCTTTCTGCCACTGCCAAGGTTGTTAAAGAGAGGGGTGCCAGCACCCGCCACATCCATAGCAACCAGTGACATCATCCTGCCCCATTCATTTACTGCCCAGGAATTTCCGGCCATATAAACACAGCGGCCGGATAGTCTAAAAAAAAAATGGCGTGGGGTACCTCCCATAATTCATACTAGACCATTCAGTTCTGGTATGAATTTTATGGGGAGCCATACACAATAAACAAATGGTGTGGGGTCCCCCCAAACTATATATCAGACCCAAAGGATCTGGTAGGGGTTTTAAGGGAGAACTTGATACAAAAATCAAGAAATAAAAGTGTGGGGCCCCTAAAAAATACAGATCAGACCCTTATGCAAGGGTGGGGATAAGACCCTGCCTGCCTCACCTAAACCATACCAGACCACATGCCCTAAACATTGGGATCCCTGTGACAACATTGACCAAATATAGTTATGTCCATATTTAGACAATACCATCACCCAGGATACCTCGCCCCATTGCTTATACTTAAAGCAGAGCTCCACCCAAAAGGGGAAGTTCCGCTTTAAAGACTGGTCCCACGCTCTTATTAAGGTTTGGCACCTTTGGGGGGCGGGGGGGGGAGTGGGTACCCGAATTTGACAATGGAAGGTGTCCTCCCTTCCTCCCCGTAGTCTTTTGGGGCATGTGACAAGTCCCAGAAGACTACAGGACCATTCAGGAAGCGCAGCGCTTCTCACGCATGTTGTCAGCAAGCGCAACGGTGCACGGATCTGCGCATGCGCAGAACGCCAATGCGCCCTATTCAGCAGGCGCTAGGACCCGGGCGGCGGGCCGCACATGCGCACTCGCGTTCACGGAAGCGCGCCTGGCACCAATGACAGCGCAGGGCGCTCTATTTAAACCAGCTCTGCACAGACACTAGTTGCCGTATGGTCTAATTACCCTGTTCCTGCTCCTGTGTATCTGCTGATTGATTTGTTACCGACCCTGCTTGATCCTGACCTTTGCTGACTATCTCCTGCTCTGACCCCTGGCTCGTTTGACTACTCTCCTGGATATCCCTATTGATCTGAACTCCTGTTACCGAACCCGGCGAGTGACCTGACTACTCTTTGCCTGCTGCCTTGTACCGTGCTGTCCCCACTGTTACCGACCTGGCCTGTCTTACCACGCTTGCTACTCTGCCATCCGTCCGTCCTGCACGGATCCGGTCACCACTGCTCAGGCCTTTCTGCCTCTTCATGTCAGGCTCTCTACCAGTATATACCTCTGGCGGATCCCTCTACCACAGGCGGGTGTACTCAGGGGCCGCAACCTGGTCACTGTCTGCTCCAAGTCCATCCCCACCATCAGGGGCCCTGGTGAACAAGCAGACTGGGGCTTAGACTCCGCGCTCTGGGGAATCCTGTCCTGTGGATTGCTAGAGGTACCGCCAAGCGGTGTGTGACACATGTACAGTGGGCACCCGGCTGTGAAGCTGGAAGCTGTCACAGCCGGGTGCCCACACTGAAGATGTCGGTGCCCAGGGAGAGAAGACAGCCAGTAAAACGGGCTGCAGGGGACACACCGCGGGACCCAGGGACAGGTGAGTGTGTGTTTTTTAAAAGTCAGCAGCTACAGTTTTTGTAGCTGCTGATTTTTTTATTTTATGAACTCCGCTTTGACTGCCATTCATTTGAGCAGTTTTTGGGACAGGATTTTGTCAGCAGTCTGCATTTTATTTTACTTTTGGTGGGTTAGCAGGCATTGTTCATTGTGATTTCATGACAAAAAAATAACTTTCTTTTAGTTTGTATAAAATATTACCCATTGCCACATTTCTTTTCTCCCGCTGAGACCCCAATATCTTCATTAGCGATGGGCTCCTAGTTCGGTCTGAACACAAGTTCAGACTAAACTCTTCTTGTTCAGGCCTTCATCCAAACATTGGACTTGCAGCCTGTTCAGCGGGAGAGCTGATTATTATATATTAGTAGCAGATTTTTTTCTTGCTGCTATTATAACACCTTACTCCTTCCGCTGTCAAGGTTAAAGAAGAGGGGTGCTGGCACCCTCCAAGCCATTAGCAACCAGTCTTGAATCTTGCCCCATTCAATTTTGGAGGATGCCACACTCATTTTTTTTTTTTTTTTTTTGCATGCGGTCCTATTTGAAATTCATACCAGACCTGAAAGACCTGGTATAAATTTTGGATGGAACCCCACATCATTTTTTTTGCATGGGGTCCCAATTAGCATCTATACCAGACCCTTATCTAGGATGAGGGTCTGGTATAGATGAAAGGTTCCACTGGCTGTTTGTTTACAAACAGAAGTAAGAGGCTGAAACTGTCATATGCCCACAGATTTCTTTGTAAATGTCGATGTTGCTGCAGTAACTTGTATACATCATACAGATGAGCCACTTCATTGGCAGGTTTAATGGCATTCCCCAGACATGTTATTTAAAGGAATTTAGCATTTTTAACTACCTGCCGACCGCAGATAGCCGAATGACGGCTAAACTGCGGCCCGGCCAGTTCTGAGTGGACGTCATATGACGTCCTCCCAGAACGCGCTCTCCTGCGCGCCCCAGGGGGCGCGCACCCGGCGATCTCCGTGATCGCTGTGTCCTACGGACACAGCTGATCACGTGATGTGGTAAAAGGCCAATCACAGCGGCCTTTTACCACTTGATCAGCGGTGTCCAATGACACGCTGATCAGAGGGAAATGCAAGTGCCGGTTCTCGGCTGCACTTTCCTCACGCTGTCAGATCGTGAGGAAAGTACTGCCGAGAACCGGCAGTTGTCAGAGCGGGGATCGGCACCGATCATCAGGGCACTGATGATCAGTGCCCTGATGATTGGTGCCCAGCAGTGCCACCCGCAAGTTCCGCCCACCTGTGCCCAGCAGTGCGCCCACTAGCTCCGCCCACCTGTGCCCAGCAGATCACCCACCTGTGCCCAGCAGTGCACCCACCTGTGCCACTCTGCAGTGTCACACACCTGTGCCCAGAAGTGCCACCTACCTGTGCCCACCAGTGCCACCCACCTGTGCCCACCCACCAGTGCTGCCCACCAGTGCCACCCACCAGTGCAGCCCAGCAGTGCTGCCAGTCAGTGCCACCAGTCAGTGCCCAGGGGCTGTGCCAGTCAGTGCCGCCAGTCAGTGCCCAGCAGTGATGCCAGTCAGTGCCGTCTATCAGTACCCATCATCAGTGTCACCTATCAGTGCTGCCTATCAGTGCTGCATATTAGTGCCGCCTATCCGTGACACCTCATTAGTACTGCCTATCAGTGCCGCCTATCCGTGCCACCTCATTAGTACTGCCTATCAGTGCCCTTTAGTGCTGCCTATCAGTGCCCATCAGTCTGCCTGCCTCATCAACGCACATCAGTGAAGGAGAAAAAAATACCTGTTTTTTAAAAATTTTATAATAGAAACAAAGAAACTTTTTTTTTTTTTCCAAATTTTTTGCATTTTTTTTTTTATAGCGCAAAAAGTAAAGCGCCCAGTGGCGATTAAATACCACCAAAAGAAAGCTCTATTTGTGAGAAAAAAATGATCAAAATTTCATATGGGTACATTGTTGCATGACCGCGCAATTGTCAATCAAAGTGCGGCAGCGCTGAAAGCTGAAAATTGGCCTGGTAAGGAAGGGGGTATAAGTGCCTGGTAGGCAAGTGGTTAATACTTCACTTTAGGCATTACTAAAATAGCTGCTGCTTGTCAAACAGAATTTTTTTAAACACTTGTTTTGCTTTTGTACATATCCCTTGGGGCAATGAGCAGCCCCCATTCCATTTGTTTGAGAGTCCCTTGCCTATTAGCAATGACCTATTCATTCTCTTTGCCCCATAAGCACATATCTTTTGCTCCCAACCATCCCACTCTCCTATCAAAAAGAAAAGTGAAAAAAACATGATTGCCAGATATAGAAAGCATATGACTAATTCCCCTATCTCTTATGTGACAGCACTGGTATTTGGTGATTGGCCACTCTGTTCTGGGAGATAGGGACTTACCCGATTCACTGATTTGTGTCTGGCAAGTGGAAAAACTTTTGGAGGAAGGTGGAATGTGTGCTGTGAAACCGTTGGAGGCAGAAGGATGGTGCTCTGTTAAACCTGGAAGAAATGAGAAGCATTGTCTTGATGAACCTGGGGAAGCAGGGGTGCATTGTTCTATTGAACCTCCAGGAGCAGATACACATTGTCTTGATGAAAGTGGAGAGGCAGGGGTGAACTGTTCTGTTGAACCTCCAGGAGCAGATACACATTGTCTTGATGAAAGTGGAGAGGCAGGGGTGAACTGTCCTGTTGAACCTGCAGAAGCAGATACACATTGTCTTGGTGAACCTGAGGAAGCAGGGGTGCATTGTCCTATTGAATGTGCGATTTTTACCTGTTATCATGACTTCCAGTTGCGTCAACTTTGTCTCTGGATATAGTATGAAATGTGGATCCAATTTTTTTTCTTCTTGGCAGAATATAAAAAGATCCTGGGCCCATTCCTTAATACTGTGCTGCTCCTTCAGGATCCTATCTTTCTCCTGATCTGTGCTATCCTCCAGATCATCAATCACCACAAGCACATTGTCCTTCCCTGTAGATGGAATACAAGTCATTGGCCCCAACTGGTCAAATTCTAGACACACAAACCAGCTGCAATACAACAAGATTTCTTCTAGTTTTTATAAACCCGTTCCATGGAGTGGGACTTCTTTCCCAAAGGCCATCATTTTTTTTCTCTGGGTGCTCACAAATCCTTCGATATTCCTGAACTCTGTTTGTCTGTAAGCTTAATATTTATATGACTAATATTTCAGTGTACAGTCATGCAAATTGCATTATACAATACATATGTAGCACACGCTAGTGGTGCTACAGAGTAGGAAAATTGAATGGCTCACTAAGTAGTTGAAGTGAGCATGTCTAAGTAGGGGTCAAGCCCAGGTTAGGCTAAATGATGCAGCAGGTTGGGCCTCCATCAACTCCCATTGGTTCTAGAGGCCTATGGAAGCTTCCAGAAGCTAGTGGGCAGATGGATGGAAACTTGGATCTGCATATTCATGGGAGTCTGACCAATCCAAGACAGGATGTCCCGGTAGTGTGAGAAGACAGGTCCATAAATATGTAAGAGCCAGCCAGCAAAGGGAGTAGAAGATAGATTACTGAAGGTCCTGCTCTGTAGCCTGGAAGCAGACCCTGGGGGAAGGGGGTTCTACCTCCAGGCTAAAGGAAGAAAGGAAAGGAAGCTGACAGAAGGAGCTTCACTGTCTTACAGTCCACCAGGAAAGGACAGCCTGCAAGCTGGAAAAGAAACTGGCTCAGTGATAGGCCTGAGCACAGTCTACCCAGAGCTACAGGATGGAAGGACAGTGTGAGTATCTCTACACCCCTGGGTCCTACAGGGAGAGAGGGCTGCTGGGTGGAATAGTTAACCAGTTCTCCCTGGGACAGTGCTGCAGGACTGCCTTGGAACCTCTTGCTCCAGGATACTCTTCAAGAGATAGCCAGGTCAATGTGCACTCCCTAGGTGGGATCTGAAGAGATTCACTGAAGAAGAGACCAAGTACTCCTCACATAGACTGTGCTATTGATTCATTAGGAAACTGTGTCACGCTGGCAGGAGAAGAAAGTCCAGGATCTTACTTTTTGTACAAAATAATGAAGTGGTCCTCAAAGTTATAGCTTCAAATGAATGTGGGTATCCCATATACCCCTAGACCCTATCCAAGTTGTTATCCCCAAATAAAACAACAAACACAAACCAATGGACTGGTTACTGAAAGTTGGAAAATGTGTATTGCCTGGCTGTGCAGGGTGAAGGGGACCCAATACTTAGTGTCTTCCTGTGGGTGTGAGAGCTACACATATTTAAAGGAAAATGCCACATAAATACTTTTTTTTTCAAATGTCTAATGCAATACTTTAAAGTGTTACTAAACCCACAACAGTACAATCAGTCTGTAGATGCAGTAAAGCGTGCTTGTTATACTCCCTGTAGATCCACCCCTCCTTCTAGTGTCCCCCTCTTATCTCCTGATAAGACATATCGTATGAAGTCACTCTGCACATGCTCAGTTTGGTGTGTATTGCTAGAGACATGCTGGTAGGTTAATTGGATCCTGTCTAAATTGTCCCTAGTATGTGTATGTATGAATGTAAGTTAGGGCCCTTAGATTGTACACCCCTTGAGGGTTAGGGACTGATGTGAATGTACAATATATATGTAAAGTGCTGTGTAAATTGATGGCGCTATATATAAGTAACTGAAATAGAGAGGGGTTTTTTTTTCCTGGGAGAGTGCATGTGTTCAGCACAGGGCCAATCAGCACTGTCCATAAAGAGGTCAGGAGTTCTGCATCCTCTTAGAGCAGAGTGAAAACTCCTCCTACAAGTCTTTAACCAGTGCTCTGCTGGACACTGATAGAAGTCACAAGACTGCTCTATACTTCTGTTGAGAAAAGGTATTTATCAGTTTATATTTACTAAAATAATTGCATTTCCATGTTATGTGTACTGTAGGAGACCAGATATAGTGAATGTAGAGTCCTGGGTTTAGTAACACTTTAAATTGTTTTTTTTTTTTTAGGCAAAAGAGGGAAGGAAAGAAGGTAAAACACTAAAAGCATTGATACATTCACATAGTACTAAAAAAATATATACTATATCGTGCTATGGTCTATCCAGGTTCAGTAGGTATACAACACATAAGCAGCCAACACAATATTGCCGGTTACAATACATAAAAAAATATATATATATATACAGAAAGTGCAGTGATAAATTTGAACATTCAAGAACATACTAAATATACTGTAACAAAACAGTCCAATCCAAAACTTTTTGTATGCAGAAAAAAGTTCTTCAATCAAGAACCCAACAGATTTCCAAGGGATCTTCAAGAGGAAAACTCCTTCACCAACGCCAATCACACTGCCTCTTTCCAGATGATATTGACCCCCAAAAATAGGAAAGGTCAATATTCGCTGTGTCCTTCCTGGAAGCAAACAATGGACCTTATGCATCCTGGTCTTCAATACAGAGTTTTTTTTTGTAGTGGACCCAAATAAGTATTATCCAAACTGAGGACTGATACTAGAACAAAGTCCACAGTTACTGTAGTAGGGGTAGTCCAGTTTTTCACAGGGCGCACATATTTGTTTGTATCGTTGAGTTGAATATCCTTGTAAGAACAATTGTTGCAGTGGAGTACATCACACAATGGAGGTACCGTAGTATCGCACCGCCTCTCAGAGCCATCAGTTTGGATAATATTTAGGTCCACTACAAAAAAAACTCTGTATTGAAGACCAGGATCCTTTAGGTCCATTGTTCACTTCCAGGAAGCACACAGCGCATATGACCTTTCCTTTTTGGAGGTCAATATCATCTGGTAAGAGGCAGTGTGATTGGCGTTGGTGAAGAAGTTTTCCTCTTGGTGATCTCTTGGGAATCTGTTGGATTTCTGATGGGTCCTTGATTGGTGAACTTTTTTCTACATACAAAAACTTTTGGTTTGGACTGTTTTGTTATATTTAGTATGTTCTTGGATGTTCAAATTTAGCACTGTACTTTCTGTATATACATTCACATAGTACTGTAACTCTTACCAAGTGTGTCATGAAGATATTTCAGCTCCTTGTCATATAGGGAACTTGTTACATTGGTCACATTGATCCTTCCTCTGTTCTTCGTATGGTATAATATACCAAATGTGCACCCAGACACATCCTGCATGAACGTCTGGAATTTATAGTTAGCTATATAAAACGGTGTGACACTGAGATTCTTTGACTTGAGAAACGTCATCAACCAGGAGTACTCACTGCTATCTGATCTGGAGAAGATTCCAATTTCATCTTTTTTCCACACTATGTACAAAAAAAAAGAGAGAAAGCATATTAATATATGACTTCTATCAGTAAATACATGAACTGATGCCCTCCTGCCCTAGCTGTCCTCTATCTGTCCGCCAGCACAACCACTTTTCCCTAAGAAAAAAAGTGGCACTTGAGTCTAGGGTTGTGTGAATCTGCCCAGATGTGATTTGCAGCCAACTTCCACAACCTTTCGTAAGTCTTGTGAAGGGAACATCACTTTATTTGCCACTAGTTGTCAATCTTTCCACACTATTAAGTGGTTGTAAAGGCTGAAGGTTTTTTAGCATTCAATGAAGGAAGGAAGAAAACCTTGCTGCTTGCTATGGGGGCACCCGAAAGAAAGGAAGAGCCAGGAGAGCCTGCAGGGGACCCGAGAAGAGGAGGATCCGAGATGCTCTGTGTAAAACCACCGCACACACCAGGTAAGTATAGATATGTCTGTTATTTTACAAATCAAAAGATCCTTTAGAATCACTTTAAGGCAATACTGATAGGGGAGTTCATCCAAACATGCAGAAATTGTTCAACAAATTATCTTTTTGATAACGAATGTGAAATTATAAAAACCAGGCTTTTGGATAGAGGCTTTCCGATCTGGAGAAAAGAACGAGGTAGGAGGATTGCTAAATTCTCATCTGGAATCTGAAGTTCAGGTTTGGGCACCAATTAAAAAAAAAAAAATTGGGGAACTGGAGAAAGTACAGAGAAAGGAAACCAAACTGATAAGAGGCATGGAGGAGCTCAGCTATGAGGAAAGATTAGAGGAATTGAATGTATTCACTACTGAGAAGAGGAGATTAAGGGGGGATATGGATACATAAGGGGGGGATATGATCTCCATGTGATACTCCATTGATCTCCATGTATAATACATAAGGGGGGATATGATGTATAATCATAAGGGGGGGATATGATCTCCATGTATAATACATAAGGGGGGATATGATCTCCATGTATAATACATAAGGGGGGATATGATCTCCATGTATAATACATAAGGGGGGGGTATAATATGATCTCATGTATAATACATAAGGGGGGGATATATCTCCATGTATAATACATAAGGGGGATATGATCTCCATGTATAATACATAAGGGGGGATATGATCTCCATGTATAATACATAAGGGGGGGATATGGTATAATACATAAGGGGGGATATGATCTCCATGTATAATACATAAGGGGGGATATGATCTCCATGTATAATACATAAGGGGGGACATGATCTCCATGTATAATACATAAGGGGGGATGATGATCTTCATGTATAATACATAAGGGGGGATATGATCTCCATGGGGGGGGGATATGATCTCCATGTATAATCTCCATACAAAGGGGGATATGATCTCCATGTATAATACATAAGGGGGGGATATGATCTCCATGTATAATACATAAGGGGGGATATGATCTCCATGTATAATACATAAGGGGGGATATGATCTCCATGTACAATACATAAGGGGGGGGGGGTTTATGATCTCCATAAGGGGGATATGATCTCCATGTATAATACATAAGGGGGATATGATCTCCATGTATAATACATAAGGAGGGATATGATCTCCATGTATAATACATAAGGGGGATATGATCTCCATGTATAATACGTAA